AGGACATCTAGTAGCAGATGATACCTGCAAAAGAGCAGATGTAAAAATACTGTCTTTTTTTATACTTTTAAGACTAATTACTGTAGATTTAACAGAGCCATACACAAAGACAGCCCAAAGGGTAGAACCAAGGAGAACTGAAGTCAGCTGTGGTCTGAGCTACTAAATCCTCATGGGTGAAAGACCCATGATAACACCTGGCACTCTGTATGGTACATGCCTTTGATGACTAGCTATATTTAGTTAAAAAGAACGCAAGCAAGTACGAGAGAGAGAGAGAGAGAGAGAAAGAGTGAACACACACATGCGCAAGAGAGAGTGCAACATGAAGGGCTTGATCTTGATGACACTGCTCAATTAATAGTCCCTTTGGAGTTAATGGGAGTTTTGCCTACGAGAGTACAGCCAGATCCTGTTGCAGTACCTTCTTGTGGCAGCTGAGTATTTTACAGCATATTTGATTATCATCTCTGCTTCGGACATTTTCTATTACTGCTTTCCCACAGTCCAACTCTCTGGTAATTTATTAGTTTAATAGTCACTACTAGACTTTAATTGTACCCTTTTTTAATTTTTTTGTTAAAAATGTCATAAAGACACAATGAATACAAGTACTGCAGTTACATCAATACAAAAAAGCAATACAAATTAAGCATCTGAATACAAAAATACATTGCAATACATTAACACCACAATGTAACCTATCACACTAAGTCAGAATTGTGTATGTGTGAAAAATTAAATAAAAACTTTTTTGTATTAGAGAACTTAGGTATTCTCTACTTTAACAGTAATGTTCTTCTAGTTATTGACTTCACAATTTCTTCTATTTACAGTATAGAATAAAATACTTTTAAAGATATGACATTTTAACTCCGCAATAAGTGATATAGGTATCTTTTACACTAAGAATATTGACTGCATGAATAAAAACAATGTCTTACATCCACTGCTCTGAAAAGGAGGATCAACATTTTCCTCTTACATCATCTATGTATATTTCAGTTAGTAGGTTTGGCTTGGTAAGTCAGACAATCCTCGTCTTAAATAGTGTCTCTCACAGTAATGTACATCATATTGCTTGAGCCTATACAATCATACAAAAGTGGCAATCATTATATCTAAATGTTGATTATGAAAGAGACAACTTACACATATACAAGGTCTTCGGAGTTGAATTCTTAATGACTTATTTACAATGAAAGTGCTTTTATCAGGTCTAACATGATACATGTCTTTTTCTACATGTCAATTCATCTCCCTGAAATTGGAAAAGTATAATATAGAAAATACCACAGCTTTGCAAACACTATAGCATACTGTATAACCGCATGTGGTTCTGAGATTAGCAGCTGAAAAGTGTTGATAATTATAATTTAAAAATAAATAAAGCAAAGAGGTAAACCAGTTACAAAATAGCAGAAAACTGCAATATTCACAACAGTAAAAAGACTGAACTCAGTTGCTAACAAAACGGTGAAGCAGTTGGATCAAAGGTCTTGAAAACATCTTTTAGGGATTTATCATCCGATTCCCCATTTGGATCATTATCCTGCATTTGATTAACCTGTCCAGGCTGTCTAACTTGCCTTGGATCACTGTACTGCGGTCTGATCAATCCTGACAATGCTTGGATGGGAAGATTATGCACTGCTGGTGCAGTGCTTGAATGCTTAGCCTGAGATTTACTGATGCTATTTGCTTTATCTGAACTGGCCTCTGCTGATGCTTCGGTAGTTTTTTCCACGTTTGAGGCAGTCTTCTGTGGCAATGTATCTTCTGAGAGACTAGGCTCATTTTTTACAGTGTTTTTCAGAATACTTTTTTTCTGGTTCTCTCCATTCTCTCCTGAATTACTTGGAGCAGTGTCTATTGATGAACTGTGGTCTCTTGGATCATATAAACTAATACCACTAAGTATGGAGCTTGGAGTTCCCAGTCTAACACCAGTTGATGATAGCTTGGGTGCATATGGAGGCAGAATGTCTGGGTCAGATTTACAAGTCACAGCTTCTGAGGACTGTGATGAACCAATACCAGATCTGGCTAGACGAGGGTCAAATTTTGGAGGATGAGAATCCTTTGCGATTCCATGGTGAATGTCTGTACTAGACAGTCTATGGAGTCTGGGATCAACGTTTTTTTGTAAGCGGGGATCTCCCAGTTTGCTTGAACTACTGGCATGCGACTCTGCAGATTGGTCCAAAAAGCCACTTCTGCTTGTTATGCTATTTTTCACTTTTGCTGCTAGTCTTGGGTCAGCTGGCATTGCATTTGGATGCGGATCATTTTTCAAATTCCGTAATTTATTAAGCCTCTGGTCAGCTATAAGTGGAGGAAGAGGTAAATTAATTGAAGAGACTGGGTCAGGTTTAGGTAAGGGTATTGGAAGTAAGTCTTCAGGAGCCCATACAATATGCTTAGCAAAGTTTGGTTTTATCAGGATAATATCCATTTTAATGTGGCTGAACTGTCTAAGCTGAGATCTTGGATCCCTTAATGTTACACCAGGTAAAGGTTCCAAAGGAATTAGAAAAGCTCGCTCTCTCAATTCTCTTTCCGTATCCTCTTCATCATCATCCATTCCTTTTTGTTTGACTTGAACTCCGGAATGCGTATGATGTAAATCTAACTTTGCACCCGCAACAGAAGAACTTGCATGTCCACTTTCATTAATCCTCAACATTCTAGGATCCCGTGCAAGTCTTGGGTCTAATGACGCCGATTCGGAAGGTTTTCTAGTATTTGATCTCGGAGTGGACCTCAACCTTGGGTCAACAGCTTGATTTCCTATGGCCTTCTCTTTAGCAAGCCGTGGGTCAGTAGGAACACTGAGCATATGCTGATCTGTGGAATGTTGCTGCCGATTCCTAAAATTCTCACTTTGTTTCTTTAAGGTTTTTAATATTGATTTAACACTGCTTCCCTCTTCCTCTTCACTACTGGAATACCAGTTTACATTATCATCTAAAAGAAAGCAAAAGTTATTTAAAAAAAATGATCACTAGAGGTTCAACAGACAATGCTTTGCATTTCTTGGAAAAAAAAATAAAATTTCTCAATAATAACTTGTATTTCTCTGATATTAAGACTTGAAAAAAGGGGGAACAGCAACTTTAAATGACTATTATAGAAATGAACTTAAGCAAGGGAATGAAACAAACAACTACTTTTACTTGTTAGTAACAAAAATGAAATGAGCATATTTTTAAGCACATAAATCCTGGTGGAAGAGATCTTTACTGTTGGTTGAAAGAGAAGACAATTGTTTCTCCTATTCTTAAATAGAGTGTTGTTATAGCCCTGATGGTCCAGGAAATGGAATCATAAGATCAAAGGAAAGCAGGACTGGAAGGAACCTCATAAAGTCACCTAGTCCAGAGGTTCCCAACCACTGGGCCACGGCCCTGTTACCAGGCCACGTGGCGGGTTGGCTGCCAGGTCATGGCATGAGTCCCCCGATCAGACCCCCGTTTGTCTGCCTGGGCGAGTGGCTTCCGGGGTTATAGCTGAGCTTCTGGGATTAAAGCTGTGCGCCGAGTCAGCCCTGGGAGGGAAGCAGCCGGCACCATGAGCCCCATCTCACTTCCACTGGGCCACAGTTTATAAAAGGTTGGGAACCACTGATCTAGTCCAGCTCCTGGCTCAGGGCAGGATCATTCCTGACTAAACCATCCCAGCCAAGTATCCATATCACCTGCTTTTGAAAGTTCCTAGGGCTAGAAAATCCACAATTTCCTTAGGTAGCCTGTTCTAATACTTGACCATCTTAAAAAATCAGAAAGTTCTTCCTAATCTCCAATCTAAACTCCTCCTACTACAGATTGAAGCCAGTGCTCCTACTCACTCCTGTCCCCTACAGCCACAGATAAAAGCCCATTTCTATCCTTTCTATAATCTCCCCTCAGCCTTCTCTTCTTCAGACTCAATAACCCTAGTTCTTTCAGTCTTTCTATGCAAGTCTTGCCTCCCAGGCCGCAATCAATTTTGCTGTTCTGCGCTGGCTGGACTCTTTCCAAGTGTCCACATCCATCTTGAAGTGTGGCATCCAAAACTAGACACAACACTGCAAGTGAGGCCCCAACAGTTCTGAATATAGTGGAAAAACACTTCTCTTGATTTGCAAGTGACAATCCTGATAATACAACCCAGGATGCTGTTGCCTCATTTTGCAACAAGAACACACATTTGGCTCATATTCAATTTATAGCAACTGAACCGTCAGGTCTTTCTCTGCAATACTGCAGCCTAGCCAGTCATTCCCAGTCTGCATTTCTGCATGTATTTATTCTGTCCCAAGTACACCACTTTGCACTTGTCTTTGTTGAATTTCATTTGACGAGCATTAATCTATTCTACTCAGGTCATTCTGGATCCTAGCCCTACTCTCTAGAATATCTATGTAGAACATCAACCAACTTGGTGTTGCTTGCACATTGGAAAATATACTCAATCCCATCATCTAAATCATTAACAAAGTTATTACACAATAGCAGACCCAGGACAGACCCCTGAGGAACACCTCTTAATACTGCATTAAGCAACTGATATTACGGTGGGGATTTAACTATAGAGCACCAGACCAGGAGGATGTGGTGGATGAGGATTTTTTCAAACAGCTAGTGCAAGTTTCCGATCACAGGCCCTGGTTCTCATGGGAGACTTCAGTCACCCTGACACCTGCTAGGAGGGCAATACAGCAGTGCACAGGCAATCCAGGAAGTTTTTGGAGAGTGTTGGGGACAACTTCCTGGTGCAAGTGCTGGAGTAGCCAACTAGGGCCATGCTTTTCTTGACTTGCTGCTTACAAACAGGGCAGAATTCATGGGGAATGTAGTAGTGGATGGCAACCTGGGCAGCAGCGACCATAAGATGATTGAGTTCAGGACCCTGAAGAAACAAAGGAAGGAGAGCAGTGGATTAAGGACTCTGTACTTCTGAAAAGCAGACTTTGACTAGCTCAGGGAACTCATGGGCAGGACTGATCCCCCGAGAGGCCAGTCTGAGGAGGAGAGGAGTCCAGGAGGAGAAGGTGATTAGGAACAGTCAGCATGGATTCACCAAGGGCAAGTCATGACTGACCAACCTGATTGCCTTCTATGAGATGACTGGCTCTGTGGATCTGGGGAGACCAGTGACTTTAGCAAGGGTTTTGATATGGTCTTCCACAACATTCTTGCAGGCAAGCTAAGAAAGTATGGGTTGGATGAATGAGCTGTAATGTGGATAGAAAACTGGCTGGAGAGAGTAGTAGTCAATGGATCGATGTCTAGTTGGCAGTCAGTATCACCAAGTGGAGTGTCCCAGGGTTCAGTCCTGGGGCAGGTTTTGTTCAATGTCTTCATCAATGACCTGGAGGATAGGATGGAGTGCACCCTCAGCAAGCTTGCTGATGACACCAAGCTGAGGGGGGAGTAGTAGATATGCAGGAGGGTAGGGCAGAGAGACTGTGACAAATTGCAATATTGGACCAAAAGAAAAGAAATCTCATGAAGTTCAATAAGGACAAGTGCAAAGTCCTGCACTTAGCACAGGACAGAACAATCCCATGTTGACTGGTTGGGCAGCAGCTCTGCAGAAAAGAACGTGGGGGTTACAGTGGACAATAAGCTGAATATTGAGCCAGCAGTGTGCCCTTGTTGCCAAGAAGACTAACAGCATACTGGGCTGCATTGGTAGGTGTTTAGCCAGCAGGTCAATGGAAGTGATTATTGCCCTCTATTCAGCACTGGTGAGGCCACATCTGGAGTACTGTGTTCAGTTTTGGGCCCTTCACTACAGAAAGGATGTGGGCAAATTGAAGTGTCCAGTGAAGGGCAACAAAAATGGTTAAGGGGCTAGGACACATGGCTTCTGAGGAGAGGCTGAGAGAACTGGAAAAGAGAAGCCTGAGAGCAGACTTAACAGCAGCCTTCAACTACCTGAAGGGTGGTTTCAAAGAGGATGGAGCTAGACTGTTCTCAGTGGTGGCAGATGGCAGAACAAGGAGCAATGGTCTCAAGTTGCAGCAAGAGAAGTTTAGGTTAGATATCGGGAAAAACTCTCTCACGAGGAAGGTACTACAACACTGGAACAGGTTATCCAGAGAGGTTGTGAACTCTCCATCCTTGGAGGTTTTTAAGACCCGGGTAGACAAAGCCTCGACTGGGATAATCTAACTGGGGATGGTCCTGCTTTGATTCGGAGGTTGGATTAGATGACTTCCTGAGGTCCCTTCCAACCCTAATTTTCTATGATTCTATAATTGATGACTGCTCGTTTAATATAATGACCCAATCAGTTATGAATCCACCTTACACTGCTTTCATCTAGTCTGTATTTCCTTTGCTTCTTAATGAGAATATTGTGAGTATCCAGCACCACTTCTTTGATTCTATAACTTGAAAGCATCTAGCTTCTTTACGTAATCCCTAACCTGATCTGCCATTAGTCTAGACCAGTGTTCCTCAGCCAGGGTGCTGGGGGACCCTGGAGTGCTGCCAGATCCTTTGAAGGGTGCTGCAAGGTGGGAAGAGATAAGTGAAGTATTAGAAGATAAGCAGATAAGCTAGGCAGACAAACCAGGCTCAAGCTTATCCCTGCCTGGATGATCTCTCATTCCTACTGCCCAGCCACTGTGTAAGGAGATAAGCACTGTAATATAGAAATTCACTTCTGAAATTGGATGCCACTCCATTAACTAAAGTTATGGAGGTGTGCCTTGAGTCCAAAAAGTTTGAGAACCATTGCTCTAGGTTGTTTACCTCCTTCCCTCTCTTTGCTGCCAACTGCTCTCGTCATCTGGTAGCTACCCCTATTTGTGAAAACCAAAGTAAAAAACATATTCACTACTTCAGCTTTATCTGCATCATCTGTAACTAAACTACCTTTTGCAGATAGTTTGCTCCTGAGCTCTTGAGCCACCTTAAAGTCTGGCTAGCTCTCTTAGATTCCCTTTTTCCTCAGACTTGTCTCCCGAGGGACCCTGCCCACTAGTTCCCTGAGTCTGTTCAAGTCAGTATTTCTGAAGTTCACCGTCCTTATTCTGCTGCTTTCTTTCCTTTCTCCCCTTGGGATCTTGAAATCCACCATTTTATCATTGTCTCACCCAAGTTACTGCTCAGAAACAAGGATGAATTGGTTGACAATGTGAAGATGAAAAATAAGTCGAGAAGAGTTTTTCCCCTCACTGGCTTCTCTACCATCTGTATTGAACCGTTATGTCCAATACACACAAGGAATCTGCTGGACTGCTTTTGCACTGCTACATTTCCTTCCCAACAGATGCCCCAATAATAAAAGTCTCCCATGAGAAAGCTTTTGGTTTCACAGAAGTTTAGGGCTGGAAGGTACCTCGTGAGATCATCAGATCCAGCCCCACTGCTCTGGGCAGGAAAGACTGCTGGGGTCAAATATCCCCAGCAGGGTGTGTATCCAGTCTCCTTTTGAAGATCTCCAGGGTAGGTGCCTGCACCACCCCTGCTGGGAATCTATTTCAGAGTCTGATCACATGATCCATGAAGAAGTTTTTCCTTATATCCAGTCTGAAATCTTCTTCTAAGAGTTTATGACCGTTTGGATTTCTTTTCTTTGCAAAAAGAAATGCAAACTTTTCCTAGAAATGCCTTGCCCTATTCTTGCTATCATACGCCAGAATATGGCACTAAAACCATGAGACTATATACATTATTTCTATTCAGTTGTACACCTCTGTTCACTCAGCCTCTTAGAGAAAGTAGTATACAGAAATGGAGTATGGTTTCCTGCTGTGTACTGCCTATCAATTAGAGCAGGAGTCAATCCAGCCAATGGATCTGGTCTGCAGATGTGAGGCTTCACTAGGAGGGGATTCCTCCCATGCTGCAGCAGCAAGAAACGGTGGTGGTGGGTGCTTCTCCTCCTCCCTCCCCCTCTCTGTGGTACAGTGGGAAAAAGTAGTAGCAGCTGTAGCTAGGCCTTAGCACGTGACTGCCTCTAACCCAAATGGGTCATTCTGGCCCGCAGCCTAAAAAGGATACAGACCACTGAACTAGAGGAAGTTTTATACCACCAGTGGTCCAATACTTCACAGCATAATCCAAATGTGAAGGAAAAGTAAAAAATTAGCAGAGAGAAAAATATCTTATTTTACACGATTTAATATTGATTTTAGTGTCAGGGAATGTTAGGTGAAACTTGTTAACAATGTAAAAACAAGCCTCTAATCTAATGAGTCAGCTAGACAGCTTACAGGGGCAAGCATATCCACAACAAGTTTACTTTTTTTCCCTCCTCATCTGCTCATAGGACATACCCATTACATAGATTCAAGGATTCGTAGATGTTTGGGTTGGAAGGGACTGAAGTAGATCATAGAGTCCAACCCCCTGCCCTGGGCGGAACGAGTGCGTGTCTAGCTTCCTCTTTAAGACCCCCAAAGTAGGGGAGTGCACTACCTCCTTTGGAAGCCCATTCCAGATTCTGACAACAAAGTAAGTTGTTCCTGATATATAACCTAAATCTGCTCTCTGTCAGTTTGAGGCCATTGTTCCTAGTTACTCCAAGGGCTGCCCTGGTAAACAGAGCATCTCCTATTCCTTGCTGCCCTCCTCACCTCCTGATGAATTTGTAGATGGTCACAAGATCACCTCTCTGCCTTCTCTTGCAGAGGTTGAAGAGATCCAGGTCTCTCAATCTCTCCTCGTAGGGCTTTGCTTGCAGGCCCCTAACCATATGAGTGGACTTTCTCTGAACACTCTTGAGGTTGTCCACATCCCTCTTGAAGTACGGTTCCCAAACATGGGCCAGCTTATCAAGCTACCTAACAATAGCCCAAAAAACTTTAGACAGAGTGACTCTACTTTGAAACGTGACTGTAAAAATGGATATACTCTCTTTTATTTTCAGAGTTCTTTCTGCTTACTTTACTGACTCAGCTGAGTAACAACTGCATTCTATTCATAGACTTACATCCACAAAACTATTACATAAATTCAGATTGCAGCAACTTCATTATTAGCAATGTCTGAACACCAAATGTCCTAATTTCTCTCCATATCCTAGGCTGAGTTTTTGTCACTGGAAGTGGCAGTAAGCATTTTTATGTTTAAACTGAAGATCTGTTATAGAAGTGATGGGAGAACCATAAATACGTCTTTTTTAAAGCTCATTTTTAGAGTATAACAACTTTTTAAACTGAAGACAACCTGTACACAGAAATCATGAAATTCACAGATAAATCTTTTATCTTTCAAATGAAAAGGAGGACTTATTGAAGAGTGCATACACGCACAAACCCCTACAGAATAAACTAGGAAAGAAAGTGAAGTTAACTTCTTCAGTTGAAATTTTAAAGGGACTGTATATAAGCTTAGTGTCATTAAAGTGTTTTCAGAGTAAGAATGGGTATGCTATATTCTGATACAGATTACACAATGTTACCTTCTTCCTTGCTCATTGTCCTCTGAACCTGACTGCTGACTGATTCTCCATCTTCTTGTTGTTTTTGACTAAGTCTCACGAAAAGGGCTTTCTGCATTGCTGGAAGAAAATCTGGTACATTAATAGCTGGTTTATGGCCTGCTTTACTGATGCAATCTGACTCACTTCCACTCTTATGTGAATCCTGAGCAATAAGGTGAACTGGATGATCTGTAAAATCTCCATGCCATACTCCATCTGAATATACAAAAACAACACATAATTAGCTGATGTGTTGGCATTAAGAAGCCAGTGGCAAATTAAAGAACAACATTAACTTTGAAGCAAATTACAGGCAACCATTTGGCTAATACTTCCTTCAGTGACTGTTCTTGTGTTTTGATGTTTTAATACTTCAGAAAAAAGAAATCTTTCGCCAAGGAACAAAAGATTTTAAATCACAGACTTACCACCACTGTTGTTGGTTGGCTGAAAGTTATGTACAGCTTGATGAGAATAGTAATTGTCATAGAAATCAGCTGGATTCTGAATAGACTCATAACCAATATTCTGCTGGCGTTCACCTGGAATCTGCTGATATGGTGCACCTGGTGGACAATGATTCTCTCTGGGCATGTTTACCATATGTCCTTGAACTCCTGGAGTGTTGTATGATGCACCAATTCCTGGAGGTGTTAAAGGTGGACCCGCTTGTTGTACTTGGATAGGCATGCCAACTTGACTTTGTGGTCCTAAAAAGCCTGGTGGAACAGGCTGTAAAGGTGGGCTCTGAGGCACTGCTGGACCTTGAGGCCCTGAACATTGATGATGCCCAGGCGAACCTGGGTGTATTGCTGGTCCGTTATGTCCTTGTGACATGCTGGGTCCAGGCCCTGGACTTGACCCCGGATTATACATGTGCTGAGAATGTGGGTCGTTTCCCTGAAATGGTGGCCTTGGTGGAGATGCACTGTTATAGAAAGTTGGTGGCCTGTGTGTAGAAAATTAAGAGGTTAAATTTTGAACCTAAAGACACAGATAATTTCTTATTTCATTATCCTTTAGAGATGTCTCTTTACATTTTCTGTAATCCAAAGTTTAGATGAAATTGATAAGAACAGATTAAGAGACCAGGTCTTGCTCCTGAATTCTGGGATATAGATCTCTTTTGGAGATACATGTTGGCAGTAGGCGGGTAGTGAGGGAATGGTGGGGGGGACACAACAGGGTGGCTGTATTAATCCCTATGCTGCTGCTGTTTGTTCCACTGCTGGAGGGGGGTCTGGGTCCAGATCCGGCCCAGAAGGCTGAGCAAATTTGAGACCCCTACTATGGACCATTTTAAAACTTACTTTTTTCCAATTTTGTGTGCTAAATCCACAGTTGGTTTCACAACTATTTCAAACAGAGATGGAATTTTCTTGAATTCACCAGAAGGATCTTGAAAACTTTCTGCATCAGGATCAGAAAATGAGAACTGCTCTGGTGGTGTTGGTAAAAGTCCAACTCCTGGAGGTGGTTTGGGAAGAGGAACTATACCACGCTTTCTGAGCTCCTCCAGCTCTTTTTCATCTTCATTTTGTGGTTCTTCTTCTGTATTCAAAACCTAAAAGAAGGAAATGTAATTAAAACTGGGCACATCTACACAAGACGTTTTACTGTGCAGCAGACTAATTTTCTGCACAGCAGAGTATCACTGTCCAGACATGTACAGTTACGAGGGCACACAAAACTAATTAACTTTGCAGCAAGGTAGTCTTGTAAAATACAAGTACCACCTTGCAGTGGCATTTTTTTGTGAGCAGCAGCACACATGTAGATGCTGCCTTGGCTGGCTGGGGCACAGGGTGCTTCAGTGCGGGGTTAGCTGGCAGGCACCCTGGGCTACATGCTCCCCTATCTCCACGTGCCTCTCTGCAAGTGGCTGGGGTGCAGCGTGCCTCAGTGCAGAGACTGCGGGCTGGCTAGCCCTGTGCTGAGGCAACCTTTGCCCCAGCCAGCTCCCCTGCAGCTGACTCCCTGGCTTCCCTGCCAGCCTAGATCACTCCAACCAGGCTCCAGGTGGTGCTCATGAGTAAATTGCAAAAAGCAATATGCTCCAGAGTTTTTTGCTCTGGGGCGCACATGTAGACATGCCCACTGATTACACTAACTATGTGCTAAAATTAACATTTCAAAGTAGCACTACATTTTACATTTAGATGTAATTCTAAACTATATCGCCTTTCTTTTGAGTTTGTTATTAATGGATCATAAATTTCCCATTACATTTTCTTCCAGGTCAGTGGCAAAGCACAAGGGATTAAACCATTTCTATAATTAGGAACAGAAAATTTTAGGATGTTCACGGCCTTTGATTAGTTACTTTAAATGGTGGAAGAAAATAAAATGTTCTAAAAAACAATTCAAAAAACAAATCAGTGCCAAAGAAGAATGCATTTAAAAATAAGAGTACAAGGATGTTGATGAAGAAGAGGAGGCAGAAGGGAGTGGTAAAAGAGGAAAAAAATGAAGGTGAAAAAGGAGAACATGGTGTTGTATGTAGTTACAGAGCCAAACCTTGTATGTAGTTACAGAGCCAAACCACAAGGATAGGATTTTCTAAGTGAACTAGGAATATTAACTATCACTGGAGCTGAGCACCTATCTCCCCTAGATCCCTTAAAAATTCCACCCGAAATGTAGACCACCTGCCTACCTCTCACTAGAGGAAAAGAATATTTGCTTACTTAGACATTACTTACCTTATCCAGTAGTTCTTTTGTTTCTGCAGTTAGTGGAGCATGAGAAAATTTACATTTATCTCCTTGATAGCATTTTGCTCCTGTATGATAGAACTTGCAAGGAAATTCATGTAAGCAGAAACTATTAAGGATTCTAACAAATAACAAAATCTGCTTTGTGTACGTTGGAACAATTTCACAAAATTAATTTTCAGATAGACTTCAACTGCTCCTGAATATTTAGCTTCTCCAGAATCATAAACTAAACAGTACAACAAGCTAACAGTTTACCATTTAATTTTCTTTGATGCCACATTAATAACTGATTTACTTTGTTATCACTCTACTTTTGCTAAGACTTTAAGTACTGAAGTTAAAAATCAGAAGTCTCAATTCTTCAATAAAAAGCCACATAGAGCCCTTAAAACAAGAAAAATAAGCTAAATCTATTATAAAAATGCATTTAACTCACCAACTCGCCAAATCATCCCCCTGCACCTAGCTTTAAGTCTATTAATCTTTTACCATATGTATTAAGTCTATCAAACTCATGGTATTAATAGTTTACGACCACAGGTACAATTTGTATAACAAATTACACCTGTGGTGTAAAATGCTTTCAAATCAGAAAAGAAGTGTTTTACATCTGCTCTATAACTATCCCATTCCTTCTGTGGGGTGCCAAATAGACAGGCAATGTTTTTAAAAAACACTCATTTTTAAGAGTTCTCATTTTTAGTCTTCCAATAATACCATGAAGGAACCAAGATTTAGTAGTATATTATATATTTTTGTCATGTAGTATTGCTTTTCATAAAAGCAAGAAGTAATTTGTGGCACAGGAAACTTGTGCACAAACTAATACTCAGATTTTTTTGTTTTTATATAACAAATTACAGCCCTCAGAATAAGATCAGTAAAGAAACCATAGAAGTCTGTAACTACAGACTACTAACTGGAATTTGTAGGCGCCTTTTTGAATACAACTTTTCTCATGTCCAAATTCCCATCACTGGTTGTAACAACAGTTAAAATTCTGCACAGAGACTGTTTACAGCATATCACAGTAAAGTAACTAAAGGAAAAATCAGATTATGATAAATGATATAATAATATATTTTATATTTATATAAAACTTGATTCAGAATTTAATTCAAGTATAGTTTTTGCCAAAGGATATTATGCATATAAATGCAATTTTCTCCTTTGGTACAATAACCCTGTATGTAAAACTTGCAGATCTCCTTTTTCTTTTCTATTTCTGCATCATGATCAAATTTACACTGGTCTCCCTGTGAACAATGAGAGAGAGAGAGACAGAGACAGACAGACAGACAGGTGGACAGAAAAAGGTTATTAATTCTAAATGTTGACTCATTCCATTTCATATTCTAACAAAGCTTTCATCATTAGCCTATTCTGAGATTTTCTTTAATATCATACATACAAATGTTTATCAAGCATGTCAATTTTCCTCAAATTCCAAAACCAACTGAATAAAGAGGCCATTTAACACAGAATAATGGTTCTATGTCAGCACTCCAGAGACTATGTGCCAGTGGTCTGTGGAGAGATGGCTGGCCACATACTCAAAACCGTGGTTACAGAAGTTCCATGCACTGGTTTAACCTAAATAGAGTAAATGTAATACTACGTAGTAGATCCAGGTTTATCTTAAACTGGGTTCTTCAATTTTAGACTGGTTTGTGTGCATGGAACTTCTGTACAGTTACAGGTTTAGACTGACTATTGGTTACTGAGACCAGATCTGTAAGCATAAGGTTAGCACTGGAACGAGTCAAGTCTAAATCGGGCAGCCATTCTGTACCTAATTTAACCTCCCCAAATGCCTATACTTAGCCAAAGAGACAAATACAGTTTACAATCACGAAAACACATAAAATGGCAGGCCTCCAAATTCATAGTGAAACTAGAAATAAGTGGCATAAAAATATATTTTTGAGACACAAAAATCATTATGAAAAATTATTTTCATAATGTGTTTCAGATTTCTATGATCCCTCTTATAATTGATTCAAAGATTAGGTTTGGTATCAAAGAATTACACTGCGTTGTACTCTGAATTTCACAATGATGCAGCAGCACAATACAAAATACCTATGCAATGGCAGGATATTATGCTATGGATTAAAGCATCTCCTCCCTGCTGCTTAACATCTCTTGGCTAGAAGATGACAGCAGTTTTGCTTGGGTGCTTCTTTTAAATATTTGTCCTTCTTAAACTGAAGAAAATACTCTTTTGTCCACAGTTAAAGCAATGCTTTTAATATGTCTCAAAATCTATAATACCCAAAAGTAGATTTTAAAATTCAATCTATTTACACATTGCCCGTGTCCAAAATAAGCATACATGTATATAACATGTTATACTAGTGCCCAATGTTAATGCTGCCTAATACACAGCTATATTTATTGTACATACTAGTATGGAAACAATAATGTGTCATTTTTATATGACATTAATTCCTTAGTAAAATGAGATGAAGCCATTTCCACCCCCCTAGCACTTTTCCTAATATTTCATTTATCTATTTTGGCAAAGAATATTAATGAAAAAAAAAGTAACATGACAGTTTTCCTGTTATAAGCTAAACAGAAATGGAAAGTCAATCTTTTTATTCTACCTCAAGTGATACATAATGCAGGAAAGTATGTATTTACCTTAATACATCTCCCCTCAAGAAAATATTTACAAATTTGTTTTCCTTTGTGTTCCACTGTGTGTTGATTTATGAATTCTTGACTCATATTCACCCATTTCTTCACTGGTTTGCCGTCCTATAAGAGACAAGGCACACATTTTTATGTGCACACACTATTGACACACTGAGCGCACTTGAAAAATAATTATAGCATTCTGAGCAGTTGTTTTTTCAAAATAGAGCATAACTCTCAAATATAATCATTGCACATCATGGTTTCAGGCCTCAGTACAGACTGCTGTACAAAGTTCAAAAAAGAGCTTCTTTTCTCCTATAATGTTAAGTAAAACTAAACATGCACGTATCAATTTTTAGGGTGGAGATGGTAAGCATTCTGTTATAAATACAACCAAGTTAGAAGCTTCTTTCTAATATAATGAAGATTTGTATATCTCAGTTTAGGAAACCAATGCAGGAAAAAATAAATCTAGATTTGCTCTGCATAGGGTAGATATTGTATTTCTTGTAATAACTGTTTAAATTGAACAATGTGCTTCTTGGGGGGAAGGGAATGAGTGGGTTTTGGGGACAGGCACAGCCCTCAAATCCACAGATTCTTCTTTTATGGAGGTAATGAATGGAGGCAGGGAGGGATGGGATGGAAGGCTGGGTTGAGTTAAGTTGGGCCACAGGGGGACTCTCTTCTAGATGAAAGGCAGGAGTGGGTGGGGTGAAGTAGAATGTTTGGAATTTGGAGATGCTGGGGAGGGGTTGGGCTGATTATGCTACTGTATTTCATTTTTTCCCCTCTAAGTTAGTTTCTCTTTTACTGTAAACTGCCCCAAAAAAGCTCAAGAAAGGGCAGCATATAAATCTAATAAACAAACAAATAAATGCATTCATGAACAAATACATGAATAAAGTATTCCAGCTGTATTAACAGCTTGTAGTCAACCAGTAGGAGTCAAATCCCAACCCTGATATGAAGATCCCTTCCAACATATATACTAAAGTAAGATGTTAGTGATGGTATTTTCATGTTAAAGAGGAAAATGAGAGATATGATTCTATGATGGAGATAGTGCTAATGAGGACTTCCTTTTCAGATACTGTCCCAGTCTCAGGATCTTCCTCTCCAGAGAGAATATTTCCTAAAACTCAGATTATCTGTTCCCACTTCTTATCCCAGATTGAAAATAGTCCATGAGGCCCATTGCAAAGCTGTCCCCCTCACTGATGGAGAAAGGTGAATGCCCACCCCTAGATTAGGGAAAGCCTAGATATTGCGTCCCCTAATATCACCACTTCAAAGACTATTCTTCTTGCTTTTGGAAGTGCTGAAGTGTCAAGAACCTAGGTGCACAGACTCTGGGCTTTCCCTATAGCCCTGTGCTTTAACAGTGAAGACCACACACATGGATACCTCCACACACACTTTCATGTCAACCAAGGATTCAAATGCATGAAGAAGTGCACTGCATTAATGTCCTGGAGCTTCAACTGAGATTAGTGCCCCACTGGGTTAATTTCTATACAAACAAGAAGAGGATGTCCCTGACAAAGAGAGTTTATATTCTGAATAGCTAGAAACACAAGTATTTCTGCCTAGTTTTTACAAGTAGCCATGAGGAAGCCACTGGGCCAAGGTCATATGGGTAGTCTGTAACAGAGCTTGGCACTAAACTCAGATTTGCAGTTTGCAGACTACTGCCATAAATGCAAGGTTACCTTGCCTTTCAAGCAGAAGGAACTGTCCAGTCCTCTTGTACCAGTCTCTCTTTCACCACATAGCATGTCTTCATTCCCTGCTCCTCTTTTCATCTTATTTCCTTTTTGCCCTTACCACCCCTGCACAAGATTAGGCATTCTCTTTTCACCCAAAGATCTCACTCTCTCTGCGGCAGCAATTTTGCTTTCCCATTTCTACACATGTACTTTGGGGGCTGGTGGTTTCTGTCCCACTCAGTGACAGCAGTATCACTATCTTCCAGGCAAAGAAATCTACAGCAACTCCCTGACACAGGCAGACTGGGAATATGTAGTGGCAATACCAGATCCTGCCTTCTCCCCCAGTTAGAAGTAGTATTCTGATTGCTCAGGATCCCTGACACAAGCCCACAGAGAGGGAAGAAGAAAGCAAACTGGACATATGTTATGAACCTGTGAAGTCCATTGACTTTACAACAGATATTCTGATGCCCCTTCACATGGTCTCTTGCAGAAAGTGGCAACTTGAAAGATGTACTTATGTAGATTTCTTTTTTTCCCCGTACCTCTACCGTATTCTGGATGCAGAGGATTAGACCACTGTCCCTGTTCCCAAGCTTAATGTAGTGGGTGAAGAACCTTCAAAGGTACTTTGACCAGACAACTGAAGAAGAGGAACTACAGGAACTGCTTAGGAATCTCTAAGTGTGTGACACACTTTGTCAGTTCTCATGGTGGATGGCTCTGAACCCTCAAACAAAAGGTCCTCAGCAGTATTCTGGACCTGCCTTAGGAAAATGAGACTTGGCAGCCAGGACAACCATCCTACAGCAGCTGCCACAGCCATGGACGGCAAGGCATTATATCAGCAGCATTTGGGACCACACATAGGAAAACTTTACTATTACTTGGCCCTCAGCAGCAAAGGCTTACTACAATAAAATCCCTATTATGCGGCACGAATGGAGAATGGGGGATGCTGGGTATCTAAAAATGGTGGCTACTTGAGGAGTGCGGGTTTTTAAATGGACACGGAGCGGGGGGGAGGGGGCGGCACACACGGAGCAGTGCAGGGTGGTGGCTGGCAGCAGAGACTTCCCCCCACACCCCACATCCGGCCGGCAATCCAGGTTAGTAGAGTGTTCTGGATAGCAGAATGCCAGATAACAGGGATTTTACTGTACTACTGCTTATATATGCAGAAATAATTTCTAGCAAGGAATAGAATAATAATTAATTATTCTAAACTGCAGGCTGGCAGAGAAATAGGTTTCTTCCCAATGAGTTAAGCATTTTCACTGTGAAAGGAAAAGATCTGAGCTGCACATCTTTTACTTGCCATGCCAAATAGCTGGACGTATGTTATGAACCTGTGAAGTCCATTGACTTTACAACAGATATTCTCATGCCCCTTCACTATGGGCCTAATTTAGTCTTTCACCAAAAGTCAATAGAATTCTGTCAATTTAAAGCAAGAAAATTCCCTGAAATTACAGAATTGAGTGGACATGGGTTTAAAAAAGTTAGCACACTACATATGGCACGGACAAACATACATCTGGAGCAGTTTCAAAATGGGAGGGGGAGTCACCACTCTGGACCATGCAGGAGCTGCTATGCTGTAAGAGTTTCAAGCGCACAAGCCTAGAGTGATACAAATGTAGCAAAAATGCTCATATTCACATAGGAGCAATTTTATTACTTTTGTATCATTTGTGCACATGTAATTGTTACAGTGTAACAACTGCTGCACATCCCTTTCACTCCCCACTTTTTAAACTGTTCTTAGTACACATTTGTTTATTCTGTATAGAAAAGCACCATGAAATTGATCATAGAGTCTTATTTCTGAAAAATATAATGTACAAGAGCATATTTTCAGAGTACAGCATTTTAAAACTAGTAAACAGTGCTTTGGATCAGAAGCTTCTTCTGGCTGGCTGCCTCTGAGTTGGGTAGATCCCTATCTATGACCCATGAGCCAGTTCCAGCCCAGAGCCATTTGATCTAGCCTGTGGACATGGGGTTTCAGTGACAGAAACTTTCCCCATGCTGCCCTGGGGAGAAGTGGCAGCAGGAAGTGCTTCCCCTGTGGTGCCACGGGGAGAAGAATCATGCTCGAGAATATCATCTTTCATTTGAACATAATCAAGACTGCATACCTTATGAAGATAACTAGAGGTACACCGATATATTGGTGGCATGAATATCGGATCAGCACTGATAAAAGGAAAATTAACATAATCGGCAATCAGCTTTTTTTGGCCAGTGTAGCCAGTAATGTCACCAATAAATGCTGCATGCACACAGCCAGGAATGCAGCCTGGCAGCTTGGAGAGCAGCATCCAGCTGGTAAGTCTGGGGGGTGGGGGGAACAGATTGAGGCCCCCATGGGGAAGGAGGGAGGGAGTGGGGTAGGTGCTGCCCAGCCGGGGCAGAGCATGGGACAGAGCTGTGGATGGCTCCTCTGCAGGGTATGCGGGTGGGTGTGTGTTGCACGTACTCTCAGGGGAGGCATGGATGGGGGGCACGTACCCCCCTGCCCCCCACTGCAGGCTTCAGGCTGGGGCTGTGCCAGCCTCTTCTCGGTGGGGTGGCTGGATCGGGGCTGCGCTCAGGGCATGGTGGCTATGGGGAATTTTGGGGTGGTGACAGCTCAACCTGTACCCACTCCCCTCAGCACCAGTGCCACCTGCCCTGCCCCAACCCAGCCCCCTGTCAGGAATAGACCAGCACAGCCTCTGGCCCCAAGCCCGCCCTCACCCCGCTCACAAATCCAGGAGGTACACGCTCCACACCGTCCCTCTCCTGGGACCACGTGCAGCAGCAGGGAGGTGCTCCCTCCAACCCCCACCTCCCTACCCCATGCCCCTTGGACCAGCCACCTGTGACTCTGTCCCACTCCTGGTGGGGTTGCATTCATTGCCCTGGCTGTGCAGCGCCTGGCCCTGCGCCAGTCTCTCCCTCACTGTGGGGGCCTCGATCTGCCCCCCCAAGTCCCCCCCCCGACTTACTGGCAGGAAGCTGCTCTCCAAACTGCCAGCCTGCATATCAGCTATTGGATCAGTATCAGCCCAAAAAATCTTGATCAAATGCACCTCTAAAAATAACCTCAAAAATGGGAAGAAAGTGTAAACTGTTGGTGACTCTATAAAGTAATGCCTGTTGGTGAGTGGACCTGCTTTAGCCATCTCATTCAGGGTCCCCCACATTACATAACTGTGTGGCCCTGGAATTAGTCTTTTCCTGGTATACCAGAGAATTCAGCATCTGTTATTTTACTGGAGCCCAGAGCTCATCAGTTTCTGTTTTGTCTTCCTGCCCTACCTCTTAATCAGCACCCTTCTCCACAAAAGTGAAGTAACTGGGGAGGAGCAACTAGACAGAACAAAATGCTCCCCCTTTTCCCTACCAAGCACAGGACATGAGGAAAAATGCTACAGCTGAGCACTCAGAAAACATCACAACCACTGAACTGCAGATAACTGAGCCACTTGGAAAACAGAGCAAAATAATACACTACAGATACTATGTGCTAGGGTCGGAAAGGACCTCAATAAATCGAGTCTGACCCCCTGCCAGGGCAGGAAAAAGTGCTGAGGTCAGATGACCACAGCCAGATGCCTATCCAGTCTTCTCTTAAAGACACCCAAGGTGGGGGAGAGCACCACCTCCCTTGGAAGCCCGTTTCAAATTCTGGCCACCCTTATCGTGAAGAAGTTCTTTTTGATGTCTAGCTTAAATCTGCTCTCTGTCAGTTCGTGATTACTGTTCCTTGTTACCCCAAGAAGCGCCCTGGTGAACAGAGCATCTCTGATTCCTTGCTGTGCCCCGCTAATAAATTTGTAGGCAGCCACAAGATCACCTCTCAGCCTTTTATTGTGGACACTGAAGAAATCCAGGTCCCTCAGTCCCTCCTCATAGGGCTTGGCCTGTAAACCCTTAACCACAAGAGTGGCCCTCCTCTGGACTCTCTCAAGGTTATCCACATCCTTCTTAAAGTACAGTGCCCAAAACTGGATGCAGTACTCCAACCGTAGTCTGACCAATGCCGCATAGAAGGGAAACATCACCTCCTTGGATCTATCTGTCATGCATCTACTGATGCACAATAATGTGCAGCTTGCTTTGCTGATGATTTTGTCACACTGATGACTCATGTTCATCTTGGAGTCCACTATGACTCCAAGATCCCTTTCTGCTTTTGTGCTGCTGACAGGGTCATTTCCCAGCCAGTAGGTGTGCTGGATAGTTTTATGCTCTAGGTGCAGCACTCCGCATTTGTCCTTGTTGTACTGCATCCTGTTGTGTTCTGCCCCCTTTTCCAACCTGTCCTGGTCCTGCCTGCAATCATTTCCTACTCTCCGGTGCGTTCACTTCACCCCACAATTTAGTATCACCCATAAACTTGGACAAACTATAATCCCATTATAAAAAATAATCACTGCTTAATTGCATGCTAATGAATATTTGTCTAATGAACCAGTCGTGTGAATCCTTAGCTAGGAAAGGAATAAAAATCAACAATATTTCATGGAGATTTAAAAATTAATGCTGCTACCAAATTTGGTCTTACTCTGCTGCAGACTGCAGTAGGCCCTGTACCTATAACGTTTTCTTGATAAATATATTTATTCTGGTAGCTAATGTTTATATGCTTTTAATGTTTTTATTTCTCATTTATATTTATGTATGCCTGGAGTAAAAAGCATAGCATGCCATGCAAATGATAAAAAAATTGTTTCTATTTTATTCAAGGTTTATGCTGCTCATGTTCATTAGTTTTTCCTATTCATCTGTTCTTCTGCACCAAGTCCATATGCTACCACTCAGACCACTCCCCATCAAAGTGCCAAAGTACTAAGAGAATTTCACACAAATTGATTCTCATTTTCACAACTTGTATCTGAAGAAAACTGAATAAAATCCATCAATTTTAGGTGAAAGTGAACAAATGTTGTGAAAAGGCTTATCTTGTTGGCTGAATTGGTTCTTTCAAGACAGCCACCTCCTCAAAATAAATTTAATCTACTTAATTAAATGAAGTTTCATTTAACATCCTGTTAAAAAAAGGGAAGTTTATAAATCTCTTGCTGGTATTTCTTCACATCTTTCTGGGCTTAAAATAGATAAGGAAATTATGCATTACTTTAAACTATCAAGGCTATTTTTTTCAAATTGACAGGCCAGAAACCTCCTCTTCAGAAAGATTCTGTACTAGATTCTGTACCCAAAGAAAACATGCAAATCTGTACATAGTTACTTTTAACAATGGAGTGTCACAGTGTTTGTGGACAGACATATTAAGAGTTTAATGTTAGTTACATGTACCTCTTGAAAGCCATCTGATCCTTTATTGGCCCCTCTTCCCCTTCCACGATCTTTGCGCTTCAATTTCTTCTGAATACCACGCCCTCGACCAACATTAAAATTATTACCCCTTTGTGCTATACCTGAAAAACATTTTTAAAAATATTTTAGATACCACTTAGGGAAAATACTACTACTTTCAAAAGGGTTTTCAGTATGGCTCCCTCTTTAAATGACAACAGAAAGTGAAGGGGTAATGGATATATTTAAATATTAGCAAATACAGAAAACACTAATGGAAATTACTTGCTTTTCTTTCTCTACATTAATGGGTGAACGAATCCCTAAATATCACCTTGAGTCTTGATGTGGCATGTATGATTTTATTAGTTAATTAAAATTTGTTGAAATTATCTGAAATTCTTGAAGTGTTAACCTGGATGGTAAACTGCACGCATCATTTACTTATTATAAAAAGTCATCTTTTACAATGTAAAAGTGCTGGCACACCATTTGAGATAAACAAACATCTGTAGTATTTCATAGCTGGTGAGCTACAAAAAAACTGCATTTTAAGCTCTGAATTGTTTATCAACAAAACAGACATAACACTGGTTTCCTTTAAATATCACTCTTGACATTTAAAGAGTATGTATAAAAAATCACTAACATTATCTTTATATACACATGACAAAATAGAATTTTCTACAACTACAGAACTATTTCCTGGATGTGAAACAATCCCTATAATTATCAAACAAAAAAAGAATTGCCTGTGAACACCAAAACAGGTGAGAGTAATTTACAAAAACAAACAAAAAAAAACCACAGTGCCACATCCAATTCTTTCTATTGGGTGTCTAAATGCAATCCTGTAATTTGTTCCAGCCTTTTAGGATAAGTCAATGTGCCAGCATATTTCTATGTGAAAGTGATTTTTTTCAGTGAAAATGAGTAAGATAAAACTTTTCCCTGCTGTAATTGATGTCCCTGAAATTTCATCTTTCCACAAAATGTTCCTGTCATTTTATTTGCACTGAAGTTGCATAGGAATACTGAAACAAAGGGCTGAAAGGGTCCTCTTCCATCATTGAGTCCCAATCCCCCTGCTACTGTAGGAAACTATGTTATATAATTTCATTCATAAAATAATTAAGTTCTATGTTAAAACTAGTAAGGTTTCTTGCCCCCAACCATTTAACTTAATAAGGGTATTCCAATTGCAAAAATAAAGTAAACAAAACTGGCCTAACAGCAATCTTTATGTCCCCTTCATGATCTTGATATGCAAGATGGATGGAAGGAAAAAGAGGAAGAAGCAGCAAACGTTTAAATGTGCAACTACAAAGACTGGGGTAAAGCAGGAGAAGAACCAAGGGGTTAATTATGAGATGACTGTGAGGCTAGAAGAAGTTAAATGACAAAGGGAAAAGGTCCATAAAGTACACACAGATTTCATAGACATTAGGGCTGGAAGGGACCTTGGAAGATCATTGAGTCCAGCCCCCTGCCCAAAGGGCAGGAAGTCAGCTGGGGTCATAGGATCCCAGCAAGATAAGCATCCAATTTACTCTTGAAGGTGTTCAATGTAGGTGCTTGAACCACCTCTGATGGCAGGCTGTTCCAGACCTTGGGGGCTTGGACAGTAAAGAAATTCTTTCTTATGTCCAGCCTGAAATGGTCTTGCAGTAGTTTATAACCGTTCGACCTCATCATCCCTTGGGGTGCTCTGGTGAACAAACATTCCCCCAGATACTGGTGGTCACCCCTGAGAAACTTATAGGTGGCCATCAGATCACCCCTGAGCCTACACTTCTCCAGGCTAAAGAGCCTCATAGATCTCAGCCTGTCGTCATAAGGTCTGTTTTCCTGACCTCTGATCATGCGCGTGGCTCTTCTTTGCACTCTCTCAAGCTTCTCCACATCGTTTTTGAATTGTGGGGCCCAAAACTGGACGCAGTACTCCAGCTGCAGCCTCACCAAGGCTGAGTACAAGGGGAGAATGACGTCCCGGGATTTGCTTGAGAAGCATCTATGGATGCAAGCCAGCATTTTGCTCGCTTTACTAGCCGCAGCATCGCATTGCAGGCTCATGTTCATCTTGTGGTCAATGATGACCCCCAAGTCTCTTTCTTCCGTAGTACTAGCCAGCACAGCACTGCCGAGCCTATAAGGATGCTGCAGGTTTTTCCTCCCAAGGTGGAGAACCTTGCATTTTTCAGTGTTACACACCATCAGGCTCTTGTCCACCCATTTGCTGAGCCTGTCCAGGTCAACCTGGATCGCCCTCCTGACTTCAGGTGTGGATGCTTTTCCCCAAAGTTTGGTGTCATTGGCAAACTTGGCCAGTCCGCTTCTGACTCCAATGTCCACATCATTAATGAAGATGTTGAACAATATGAGTCCAAGGACAGAGCCCTGGGGGACCCCACTGGTCTCAGGGCATCATGACGATTGACTTCCGTCAATTACCACCCTCTGGGTCCGACCACGGAGCCAATTTCCCAGTCAGCGGATCGTGGTAGGCCCAAGGCCACAATTGGTCAGTTTCGCCAAGAGGTGATCATGGGATACCAGATCGAAGGCTTTTTTGAAGTCAAGATATACGACACCAATCTCTTCCCCCTTGTCCAGGTGATAGGTCACCTGGTTGTAAAAGGAAATGAGACTGGTCAAGCAAGACCTACCCGCAACAAACACGTGCTGGCTATCCCTCAGGATATTGGCGTCAGCCAGTCCATTAAGGATGGCCTCTTTGATAAACTTTTCTAAGATCTTCCCCAGGATAAAAGTCAGGCTGATGGGCCTATAGTTTGCCGGATCCACTTTCCTCCCTTTCTTGAAGATGGGCACCACACTGGCCTTCTTCCAGTCTTTGGGTACTATACCAGAGCGCCAGGGGTTCTCAAAGATCCGTGCCAGAGGCTGGGCTATGATGCTCGCCAGCTCCTTGAGTACCCTGGGGTGTAGACTCTCAGGGCCAGCTGACTTGAAGGTATCCAGCCTCTCAAGGTGTTCCTTTATGACTATTTTACATTGTCTGAGAGTCAGGATGCATGCTACTATGAGTCTGTGAGTTGGGGGTGGGGTGAGGGGGAGATTTCTAACCATGACATAAGGATGCTCCTTGAGTTAGTGTCAAGACAGAGTAGTTGTTCATTCCCTTTGTAAGGAGGACTACCATTGTAAATATGCAATGGCGGTCATGTGTTCATTAGCAATACAGAACTGTGACCAAGAGGGAAAGGTTATAGCTCCACAAGTCTCAAAGTAAGAACATGAGACTGTGAGAGACATGGCTGTACAGGAAAGAATACAAACAGTACAAATATTCTGCAGCCAAAGTAATGCAGAGGTCAGCAACTACCACTTTTAAGCAACACTACCTCTACTAATACAAAACATTGCAAGTTCTTGTCTCCATCTCCTTCCAAGTTGTTGTTACCATATCTGTTGCTGGACTGGATGCACTTTCTCTTGAAGCCAATAGCCCTGTTACTGGCCTCTTAAAAAATATACTTCTTTCAAACTTTCGTCCATATCTGCTCCTTGACTTCCTTTTGTAAAAAAAACCCCCAGCCAAACAAAAAAACCCTCCCCGCACCTTCCTCTTTTATATCTTATAATTGATTCTTTTGACTTGTGAACTTTATTAAAATGTCTCATGTCTAGATCAAGCATATTCTGTTTTTCACTTCAGTGGGCTGTTACTTTCAATTATCCATTACATCTTGAAGAATTTAGGAAAGCACGTCCAGTAGTTTTATTAGCAGGTGAATGAAGACTGCTGGTTTGAGCATTAGAAGATAAGAGCTGAAATCACAACCTACACAGACTGGTAGAGCTCAGAACAGTTCTAAATAGCTGAAGCTCAGCACTTTTAGGATTCACTAGCTTTCCAAAGAAAGTACTCATACACTCATTGTACTCAATATGACAGCAGCCATGGTGTCACCCTGTAAGACTGAGGCTCAGACAGATACTTGTACACAAATCTGAAGATAAAGATCTGGGAAGCAATGCTACCTTTATGCCTACTGTCCCAGGGGAGCGGGGACGCCGGGAGACCCCCGTGGCGGCAAAGGGGCCTGCCTACCTCCCGCAGGGCCGGAGGAGCCAAAAGGAGTCCACGCGCCGGTGCAGGCCGTCAGCCGGGCATTTATCCGGCTCCGGCTGAGCGGCGGGGGCGGGGCACGCC